ATATATATGTGTATGTATTCCTATAGAGAGAGAGAGAGAGATAGATAATGCAGTTAAGGTTTTGTGGCAACTTTAAATTAATAAATTAAATGTAATAATCTGAAAAGGACATAAGGCACTGTTTATACACATAGTGATACATGATATTGATAATGAATTGGTCTAGCTCATCGAGAGCCCAAGAGAGAGAACTCTCGGGTTCTCTGGTTACAGCAAAGATTCAGAAGTGAGGTTAAATGGGAGTACAGGGGAAAATCAATCAGTCTGCAGAGGGAGAGAAATGAGAGGGAAAGAAAGAGAGAGAGCGAGAGAGAGAGAAAGAGGGGTGTGACTGCAGCTCTGCAGTGCAGTACTATTTCAATGCTTTAAAACAATGGCTAGAGAGGAAGATGACCACAATGCCCTCAGTCAGTGTGCTGTGGCCAGCATCAAGACTGCAGCTCTTACACATTTAGCCTCACCACCAGAGTCAGTCAATGGCAGGGCCCAAGGGTATGTGTCAAAGATCTCAGTGTACTCAAAATATAAAATACAAAAACACCAGCACATCAAAAGAGCACTTTAGACTGAATAAATGATTGATAAAAGGGGGCAAAAGAAGAAACAAAAAAAGAACAGGGGCACAACAGCAATAAAATAATCATAATGGTCACCTAAGTGCATCTTGGGAATAAGTGGGCATCTGAACATTAAGGTTGCAATGTTAACCAATTTGCCAGGTTTTAGAAGACCAAATTATTATTATTATTTTTTAGCTTGAACCATCTTTAACCCCTTCGTTTTCTCTTTCATCATGTTTTGCTTAGTCCCAGAATGCTCTCTTCCACTGTTTCCTTGGCAACAGTAGGCAGGAAGGAGTGAGAGGGCAGAAGGTAGAAACAGAAAGAGGCGGAAGTTCGAGTGGGGAGAAGAAAGAATAATACATGCTGTGGTGATTGAGGAGGAGAGCGAGGGAGTGGAAGATAAAGGGATAGTTCACCCATAAATTAAAGTTCTGTCATCATTTACTCACACTCCTATGATATTTTTCTTCCAATCACCAAAATATTTTAGCAGAATGTCCAAGCTGCTCTTTTCCATATAATGAAAGTGAATGTGTATAGCTGTCAAGGCAAGATTTTTCCTGACATAAAGCTATACTACATGACTTCAGAAGACTTGAAATATAGAGCATTAAGGTTGTAATAAACTACACGACTTCTGTACATTTTACAGTTTGGACAAGTCAACGCTAGTTGCCGAAAATTAGAATCAGTATGCAGAGTTTTGTGACAGATTTCACAGAAAATAATTTGGTGTATGATGGGCACAATTTGTTTTAGCTTCACACTATTCTGTCCAGATGGAGGATATTAAACGTGTTTGATATTTAGAGCCAATTTTAGAACACATATTGTTTATATTTGTCATGCGTCTCCTAGCAACCGACAGATGCAGACCAATTCAGACAGACAAACGATTACAGTACGTCACTTCTCAGACATTAAAAGATCCAACAAACAACGATTGAACATGTTCAATCAGCAAAAACAAACGCCGACCAATAGCAACAAATGCCGACAGTTAACACACTGATCTGACAAAACCAAACGAACATGTAGTATAGTGTATTCCAGCCTTTAGTAATATGGATCACTTTTATATTTTTATATTGTCTTTTTGTCCTTATTTTAATCTTGACAAACCATTCACAAACTGTATGGAAGACAGCGGCTTAGACATTCTGATAAACATCTTCTTTTGTGTTCTACTGTAGCCGGGTTTGGATTGTAAGTGAGTGAGTAAATGAATTGTCATTTTGGGGTGAACTATTTTAAAACATCTATACCAACAGACTGAAAAGCCATAGCACAAATATAAACTGAAACAAAAACCTCAGATATGCGTACAGAACATAAAAATATACACACATACAGGTCAATATTATGGAATCTATAAAGAAAAACTTTTGACCTTTCCTGACCCGTGCTCTTTTGCATTCGTCAACATAATTGAAAGTGTACTTGAAGAGGCACTGTGACCACAGTAAAACACACTCTGTGGGCACAAAGGAAGCCAGAGAGTGAGAAAGAAAAAAGGTAAAAGAGAGAAAGGAGAAAGCAAAAAAAAAAAAAAAAAGTTCCACATTAAGAAAAAAAAGTCCATTTACCCCTGATTTGGGTCTTAACCTACTGCATGAAAACTTTGCAGTGTTGATTTGTAACAATTGCACCACAGTCCTTAAAGTGTCCAGTTACCATGGCAACAGCCCAGGTACGTCATTACAGCCCTACAAGAACTTACCTGTGTCTGTCGGTATCAGTATATGTGTTTTCTGAGATTTTTAGTGTCTGTGTTGTGTTTCACCTCACCTTAAATTCACTCTTTACATGTCCATGTATCTCTTTCAAGTCTATCAGACACGTTTGTCTCTTCTCACCTGATGTTTAGTGTATATGTGAGGCAGAATTGTGTCCCTGATCAGTTAGACTACAGGACTGTAGCACACATCCTAACAGCGTCAGAGAGCAGTGTTTCAGCACAGCCCTATCGAGCATTTGTTATCTACTCATGGCTAGAATATTAGAGTTCACTGTTTCTGGTCCATATAATGAAGGGTTTTCATCTGCTGGCTGTGATGAAACACTGGTCAGTGGACCCCAGAGTGGAGGGCAGTTCCAGGAGAGAGAAGAAACCAGCTTTATTCAAAAAATAAACAGAAAATGCAAATAAAACACAACCCTTTTCAGTGACCGTTCACCAAAACCCCTAAAGCATAAAAGGCATTCCTCTTTCTAGTAGTAAATATAGTGTGGGATGGCAATTATACAGCCCTACAAAGGCAAAACAAAAATAACTACGCCAACGATGGAACTGGGGAAGTAAGCTTAACTGATTTGATACTCAATTTTTACTGAATTTAAACATAGTTGAGCCAAACCTGTTTGTTACAAGAGAACTCAAAGTCTAAGAGACTTTAGTCATAATGCAATGTATGTGTAGTTGCTGTGCTTTGCCTTTGAACGGCAGTATAGTGAGCACTGAAACTCTTTACAAAGACCTGAGGGGCACTCTACTGAGGTGAAAGGTCACCGCTAGGGAGGAGAAGGAGGAGGAAGAAGTCACAGCAACACCGAATGGATTACAGTGCACACACACGACAACACATGAACAAGGGAAGACAGTGTAACAGTGTAGCAACAAGAGCTGACATACAAACGCATGACACGACACAACCTGAGGAAGGAGATAACACAACAACAGCTCATCAGACAAGCGTACCTCAAAAACACATCAGAAAATACAACATCCCCAAACACACAAACACAAATTAAGCAGGAATCACACAAATTAACCTTCTGTCACACATGAATTAAGATATTCAACACATTTTCATTTCATCATATGTGTGGGTGTGTGAACGTAAATAAAACATATGTGTTGAACTATACTGGCCTGAGGGTTAAAAGTGCAGCGTTAACTTGTGTACAATCCTTAATGTGTGGTGCTCAGTTCAGTCAAGAGAAAAGAGTGTGAAAGATGCACAAATAGGAGGGGGGAAAGGAAAAGAAATTGAGGAAACCATCAGAGGCAAATACAATTAGAATGACAAAAGTTTACTTTTGAGGGTAAAATGAGAGAAAGAGTGAGAGAGAAAGACAGAGGTGAGGGAGCTAGTGCTATAATGACATCACTCATATACTGTAACGCTTATGCTGCATCCGAAATCGCATACTTCCCTACTAGTAGGCGAAAAACAGTACGTGAGGTGAGTAGTATGTCCGAATTCATAGTATTCAAAAAACAGTAGGTGAAAAGTACCTGGATGACCTACTTCTTCTCCCGGATTCTGAAGTGAGCATTCGATGGACACTTTACTATCCCATGAGGCCACGGGAGAGGATTTATTGATTTATTTTATTGTATTGATTTATTTATTTTTATTAATGCTCAAAAAAAGTACACAAACAGTAATACAACCATCAACAAATAAAAATGATAGACTATGACAACAAAATAAAATAAAGAATTTATGATTGGCAGTGAAGTGGTAGGTCATGTGACAGTAACAACATGGCGGATGTAGTACCTCCGAATTTCATTCCATATTCAAACTATATAGACGGTCATGAAGTAGCCTAAATTCACATTTAAATGTAGTACGTACTCAGATAGTACGATTTCGGACGCACCGTTAGTCTTTGAGATATGTAAGGGATAATGCACGGCTAGCTGTGCATTAAATGATGCACGACGTGGAGGCCAAGAACCATCCGACGCGAAGCGGAAGCCAGCATCGACAACTTAAAGCTATTAATGATGTTTGTAGCGCAATATTTAAAGGGTAAAAACGACGGATATTTTTGTCAGTTATGGCTCTAGCATTCTGCCCGCTTTAAATCAGACACAGAGATGAAATAGTGCGGTAAGACCACCACATTTATTTGAATTAATTATCGATAGAGAGAGAGAGATGACAGTTGTGCGTGTGTGTGAATTACCTGAGTCTGCGTCTCTCTCTCTACAAACAATGAAACTGTTTAGTTACTTCAAAAACAGTGATTTTACCACCTCGTTGCTGAGGAATATAATGTAGCGATCTAGTATCCAGGCTATTTTATTAAAGTCCGCGTGAACCGGAAGTTGCGACCGACTTTACTTCAGTATTGTGACGTACTTCAGAGAGAAACGGAATACTGAATGAGAAAAACAGAGGGCGTGGCTTGTTTTTTCTACTGCGAACTGATTGGATGTAGTAAAGTAGGCATTTCATGACAGTTGGATGGGCATGTTTAAAGGGTCATGATGAAACCCCAGACTACTTTTTCTGAGATTTTAGCAGAGGTGTTTGTGTTGCACATCATAGAAGACAATGTTAGCATCTGATCATTTTAACTGTTGGAGAAAACTGGTTAATTTTAAGCTTTTTTGAGCTATTTTCATCTTCCGGGTTTAAAATCTACATCGTGTTGACGTCACAATTTGTGACGTGGCAATGGCATCGGTGTCTATTAAATTATTCATGAGACTGCGTGTTCTTATCCTATGAGAAGACGCTTCGCTTAATTATTCACAACAGCATATGTTGATTTGCTATGACAGACGTTTCAGACTTCAGACGATTCATTCACTTGGTGAGCATAACCGTTTTTACAGCTCTGTGACACCCGTCAAAAGGCTTATATAAACGCCACAGAATAAGTCATAAAAGTTCTCAGAGGTGCAACAGCGCGTTCATATATATGTTTTCGATGCTGAGTGCAAATGGCTGCACATTTATTTGTGTTTTTAACTCGATGGGAGCGAAATGAAACTGTCTGAACGCGAAGCTGTGTGTGTTGTCTGTCTCCCCTCTTTTCCCCTCCTCTGCTCCACTGCGCACCACGCCCACTTTTTTAGCATTTTTTAAAACTGTGTTGAGCACTAACCAGTGCTGAAACCCTTTAAGGATCAAGCGGCAACCTCCCGCTCTCTCTCGTGAAGCCAACACGGAAGTGACTTAAACTGTAATTCGTCAACTGTCCGCTAGAGGCTGGCTGCAACAGGGAGTCAATCCCATAGACTCCCCATGTTAAAATGCCCAACTTTACAGCAGAAAAAAAACATGTTTACAGCCTGGTTCAAAAACATTATTTTGGTCTATATAGCTAATTTTGCCCTTCATGACAACTGTGAGGGGGTGAATTTTTTTATAAGTAATCCGTTTAAATTATATTAAGCCTTAAAGTGCTGCATAATTAAGGGCGTGGCCACTTGAGTGACAGGTGGATTGCTGCTGCTGTCACCACCGTCGAGCTAGGTGGGCGTGGCTTCAGCACCCAGCTCCTGCCTTTTTGCCCATTTTCGATTATCCCGGAATGACGTGCGGTGACACGCTGCCAAGATGGCGACGGCCGGCTCCGCCCAGTTTTGAGCTTCAAAAATGCTCTTCAGGAACCTACGGGTGACGTCACGGACACTACGTCCATGTTTTTATACAGTCTAGCCCTGCGTCCCAATGTTCATACTATCCATCCTGAATAGTATGTGAAATTAGAATAAGTGTGACCCAAAGCATAGTATGTTGAAAAGGGTATGCCAAAAGTCCCCGGATGGTCTACTATTTCAGGTGGATTTTTGAAGTGTGGATCTATGGAAAGCCATATGGGTCATAATTTGCGTGCTTTTCACCGCCGTATCAATATTAAAACGCCGTTTTCATAACGCCGCCAGGCGTTAAATAAGCGCCGTTAGGCGATAAGTTAACGGCAGACGCCACCACGCGTTAAAATAACGCCACACGCCGACCGACGTTAAGTTAACGCCACAGGCCACTTAAGATGCAGATTTATTTGCTCATCTACATGGACACACCTCTCATGGCTACAAGGACTCTACGGCAAGTCGGAGCATCCAGTTTGCAAGAGCGCGAAGATGGCAAGTACAGCCCTTACAATTCTAGATGTAGGGGGAAAAATGCCCCTGAATGAGCTTTTGTCTCATAAAGTTATCACACGAGCCATGAATGAGTGCAAATTTGGAAATTATTTTATATAACAGTTAAATAAATAAGAAATGTTATGGTAACTCTTGCAATATATTGCAAAATATATTTATAATCAGTCGTGAAAATGGACAAAATTCACTGGGGGACCCTAGCTTGTAATCAGGTGGTGGAGTCCTTGTAGCCATGAGAGGTGTGTCCATGTAGATGAGCAAATAAATCTGCATCTTAAGTGGCCTGTGGCGTTAACTTAACGTCGGTCGGCGTGTGGCGTTATTTTAACGCGTGGTGGCGTCTGCCGTTAACTTATCGCCTAACGGCGCTTATTTAACGCCTGGCGGCGTTATGAAAACGGCGTTTTAATATTGATACGGCGGTGAAAAGCACGCAAATTATGACCCATATGGCTTTCCATATGGATCCGTGCACACTCTAATGGCTAATATTACCCGCAATCCATTGCGCTTTGACGAATGATTCGGTTGTGAACTACAAACACGAATAAAAAGCATTAAAAAACTACAAACATGGCAGATGTGCACCACAAGGTTAAGTAGAGAGGTTTAGATAAAGGGGTTTGAGTTACTAATAATCAACATTTAACCTGGTAAAAAATATTTATTTGTTTTCGGTGTTATATTTCATCTGCAACAGCAGTGTGAACTTTTATAAACATCCATTTGTTCGTTAAGTTTTAAATGCATCATTATACAGAAAATATGAGCAGAGTTCTCTGCATGAAGACCGGAGGCTAGCAGATCAACGTGCTAATTCTTTTCTCTCTGATACGGTAGGAAGTTAAATGAAAGGAAATGTGGAGGACGTTAAATGTGACAAGATGATTGACAGGCCAATTTACAGTGACAGAGTGCGTGTAATTATGCGATAGAGCAGTCCGTTAAAGACGCAACTGTATGTCGTTATAGTATGTCCCAAAGCTTGCCTACTCTTCTACTACACACTCAAAAGTGTGTAATTTTTCTTCACCAAAAAAGTACATACTTTAAGGGCGTAGTATAAGTAGGCACATTGGGATGCAGCATAGGTTAAGGATGTTATGCTCAAGCCCAAGCCACCAAACATGACGTCATTTCAGAGGTGAGGTGCATTTTCAGATTTGGATTAAAAATGATAAAGGCAAACAATTGTTTTTGTGGGTTGACTTACACGGACGAATTGATCACCACAAAAATAGCAGTGTGTGCTAACAAAATAAATATAGTCAATTTTGATTTCATGTGTACTTTAATAAAAGTCACGGGGCAGCACTGACAAGTTTCTGTGTGTGTGCAGCATGATCTGCTCTCGCTCTCTCTCTCTGTGCGTCAATTACAGCAGCGCATTAATATAACTGACTTGGAACTAACTGTGCATTAAACGGTTTTAATGCATACCTGCCAGCCAATCAGAATTGAGTATTCAGACAGACCGTGGTAAAAATGTAGATATATAGTAGAGGTTTCAAAGCTAGTCTAAGCAAACACTCACATTTGAGTCAGAGAGAAAGACGAGATACTGATTCTAGTCTGCTGTGATATCAGGATCAGAAATTAAGGCTCAGGGCAAAAATTCCACCAAAAGTTACAGAAATGCCCCATGGTGAATTACTCCATTTTCTAAAATGTAATATATACAGTATTATATAATATTTCATCCTATGTACATCCTGGGTTTAGTATTTAAAAAATACATAAATCAATTATTTAAAGTGTATTCTAGCATTTATTGGGTTAAGATGCCCTATGGACTACTCATTCCGTAATTTATTTTATATTTGACATGAATTAGAATTATGGAACTTGATGCTGAGTGTTTTTATTAGGTTAGAAATAAAATGCCCTTATTAAAGTCTAAAATAAATAAATAAATAAATTCCAGGGGCAAATTGGGAAAAAAATGATATTGCCCATTTATTTAAAAGTTTCTGACACTGTCATGACTGAACTTACTGTGTGAATTTAGTCTATGCAGATATTAAATACTTAAGTTAGATCAGTGTGTAAATTGTCAAACACAGAGACAGAACACATAGAAGACAGTATCCCCCCTGATTCAAAGGCATATTGTTCCTGTTAATGAAAAGACATACTGCAAGTCATGTACTTTAGTACTGAGTGTGGCTACTTATGTTTGTGTTTCATATCTATGGTTGCTCTAAAGCGTGAATGTGCTAAATATATTCTTTGTCCAAATTCTTTGTGTCCTGTTGAAATATGTGCATATAAAATATTTCCCTGTGAAATAGCAGTGTGCCGTATGGAATTAATTAAATATTGACCTCTATGCATTCAACTAATTTCTACGCTGCATCACTGGTTGCTTTTTTGAGTGTTACCTCTGATTCATTATGGTTTGATCCAAGAAGGGGCAGAATTGGCATTGAGGTCCTGCTGTAGCAGTGGCCCTTCCGGCTTGAACCACTCATCTGCTGGGGGAGAGACTGGGTTGGCGCCTGCAGCTTCTAGTGTTTTTGTGGGTGGGGGGGTTGTAGGATTTGGTTGTGTAGAGGGGTGTATTTGGAATACGTGGAGGTTGGTGGAAAGGTGCAGGTGCAGGAAGGTATAGTATAGAAGGAAAGGCAGTAGATGTCAATCAAGCCGTTGCAAAAAAAAAGAAATGATACAAGAGGATGTGACGCGAAGTGTGTGAGGGGTGGAAAATAAGGAGAAAAAAGGCCAAGATGAGGGGAGGGATGGAGGGAAAGGGACATGGGCAGAGACAAGCCAGAGTGGAAGGCCAGGAAGAGAAAGAGAATGAAGTAATAAATCAATGAATGACCGCAAGAAAGAGCAAAGGCAAGCCAGATAGATAGATAGATAGATAGACATAAAGAGAGAGAGATACAACTAGACAGAGAGACAAACAGGAATAACACAAAAACGTGTTATTCATAATTGAGTCAGGAATTTCAGTTAAACTCCTGAATTTTTACTGAATCTGAATTTAGGTAGAAACAGGAATCAGAATTGCAGTATTGCATTTAAATGTAAGAAAGTAGAATTAAATAAAAGCCTTGACATTTTATAAAAATATTTAATAAATTAGCCAAGCTGGAAGAACACTTGAATGCACGATCTGTGTCTTTCTGATTCAAATTCCAATTTAACTTCCTCTGGGATGTGGCCAATTAAATTCAAACTCTTGAATTGAAAGCGCCATTTCTTTAATTCAGAATTTTGCACAACCCAGACAGATAGACAGAACGATAGAGCATTTGAAGAGCTTGTTGGCCAGACGCAGTGAATTTGTTTGATATATCTGTTAATAATTTAACTTGTGCTAGGATTATTTTCACTGAAAAGTCCTGATGTTATCAAAGATTAATCACATTTAACAAAGATATGAATGGAATTATTACTGCGTGTGTGGTAAGAGCTTTTCTAATGATGAGCGGCCTTCAGAATGATCGATGTGGTGAATTATGAGGAGAGATGCAAGAGGAGAAGGCAGGGAGCTATGCTGTTAGTATGGATGTGGGAGAGTCTGTTTTAAAGCGTATACCTCTGATGTACTTTGTGAAGTGCAAGTCAGTGCATGTATATTTGTGTATAAAAATATATATTGCTACAATGAATGTGTTTTTGTCCTAATACACAATAATAAGCATTTGAACATACAACTTACCTTTCCTGAGCCTGTTCTTTGTGATGCACACTGAAAGTATGAGTTTAATAATGTGTCCATTTGTGGGTGCTGCATACCTTTCCTGACATTGCTGTCTGTGGTGCGGAACTCTCCGGTACTGAGAAGGAAGCAGGCCCTATCGTGGGGGTAACGTTCACGCCCTGTGCATGTCCCCAACCCACTGGTGGCCGGACTCCTGTCATCTGGCCCTAGCACCTGATCTATGGTGGGACAGTCCTCATTAGCCAGAGCTGCGTTTGCAGCATCTCCATTCTGTTTTGAGTCTGACAGGAAGAAAAAAAGAAAAAGAAAATTACTATTAGTGGTACTGTGTGCATGTGATAATAGAGACAGTCACAGTAACATGAAAAGCCAGGGAAGAGGGAAGAAAAAAGTCTGGGATGAAAAGGGATGAATAAAAAGGAGCAAAAATAGAGATGCGCTACAAAAAGAGCAGCATCACTTGATTAAAATGGTGCAGGGGAACTCAGAACATCACACACACACAAACACACACAACATGCACAACATGAATGAGTATGCCTGAAAGAGTGAGATGTGCACACACTCAAACAAAGAAGCTGCAGGGGCACTTGTTCTTATAGCTTCCGACACAGCTGTCAAATCTAATCTGACGTGAGTTACCGTTCAACAATTTACAGAAATAAGCCAGGGGCAAAGCCTGCTACAGACATGAAGAGAGACAGAAAGAAAAAGGAGGATGGCGAGGCGAAGGAGAAGATGACATAGAGACCCATTATGCAATTGGACCTCATTGGAAGAAATAAAAAATATTTATCTGTGAAGACTGTAGTCCATATGACCATGAAATCTGGGAAGATGATGATGATCACCTTCACAGTGGAATAGGGACAAAGGGTGATGAATGGATGACACAAAAGTCTATAGCAAAGGTCATGACATATGGTTGACTACACCAGATATAACTCACTTTCCTGACAGCCATTAAATGACAATCACTTAAGAGATAATAAAATAATACAATAAAAAAAAACATTTATTCACCCTAGTTTCCTTAAAAATCCACTTGGATTTATTTTATCCGTGGAAAACTAAAGGAGAAATCTAGCACAATGTTAAGCTGCTCTTTTCATACAACAGAAGTAAATTGAAACCATGGCTGGATTTTGAGTTAAATTATAGGCATATCTGTTCCTCACATAAAGCCATTCTATTGCTTCAGGGAATTTCTTGAATAGACGTATTATTTTTATGGTGCAATGTTGTTGTTTTTTTTTGCAATTTTTTGACCCCATTCAATTTCACTGTATAAAATGGAGCAGCTCAGACAAAACATCTCCTTGTGTTTTCCACTGACTAAATATAATCATACGGGTTTGTAATTTCGGGTGAACCATTTAAAAACCTACAGCATAAAATCAAGCTACAGAATCAGAGCACCTCTCACACAAGCCAAAAATACCCCCCAACACACTCACACATGGGGACGGGGAACAAACAAATGACTTTGTTAGAGGTTTCATACTTTTAGTTTTACACTACTTAATAAAACTTTGTTAACAGTATGATGAACATGATGGATATGATGCTAGTATTGTAGGTGTCAAGGGCATGTGGGATTTGAAGTTACAGGAGGGCACATGTACTAAAGCGTTTCTTCACAGCAAGCATCTCAGTATGTTTATGCTCCCTTTTATTTCCTTGGGAACTTCCAGCTGTGAGAACTCCATGGGAGAGCAAAACAAAGATGAGCAGAGAAATACAGCTGTCATCCACTCAAGGCTGCTGGTTCCAAAAATTTTACTTTTAAGAAAAACGATCCAAAGTCATCCTATTTATAAGGATGCAATGTCATCTGTCATAATCTGTATCTTTGGTGTTGAAATCAGCTAAAAATCGGCAGAGATGTGGCTGTAAGCAGGATGCTGTTGATTTGAAACCTTTTGCTTGTATTATAGATCAAATATAGCACATGCTAATCTGAGGGGCCGTGACTAATCTGCCTCATGTTAATCTTTGCATGGGGTGTGTATATCTGTGTTCTGCACAGTAATGACAGACGGAGCTCTCTCGGCTGCATGAACTCACTGGCTCAACCTGACTGACACCTTCACATGCAAAACCGGTGAAAAAAGATGTTCTTAAACAGTATTTTGATCTTGTTTTACTGTAAATCATCCTTACAACAAGAACAACTTTACTTGAGAAGTAAAATTAAGATGAGTATATATTAAGATTAAGATTCAATATATATCCAGAAAAAATATTTGTAAAAATCCATATATATATATATTTTTTTTCTTTTTTTCTGGATATATACATAATAATATAGTGATTAGGAAAATGTGTTTCTGCAGTGAGTGCGGAAATAAACTGCACACACAAATAGTACTGTAAGCTCCATGTCAATCATCTATCAAAAGCTGTTTGCAAGTTTCAGTATCATACTTCCTGCTCTTCTGATTGGGTGGGATGTTTTCTGGTAGTCTAAGAAGCTGATTGGAACGCATGAAGCATAATCCTGCTATAATTTTAATAACGTTCCTGTTCTCTGTGACAGCATAGTTTAACATATTACTACTCTCAAATACTTGTGTGTATGTGTGTAGATATTACACAAGATTATATAAAAGACCCAGTTTAGGCGATGACAGTTCAATATAAAAAGCTATAAGTGGTGACCACAGGCATTGGAACAAAATTTTGATGGAGCTTGACATCACACACAAAAATACACTCATTTGAAGTGTTGTGCGTCAATAGCATTTTTTGTTCATAATATACCAATTAATTGCCTGAAGGTGTAGTCACATTAGTGAAATTTAACCAAAATGTTAAAATTATCGCTTGTCAATAGCGTAGCAATGTAGAAAGCACGGCAGTCACTTTCAATCTTCATGGTGAATTCAAGTGACCAACTTGAAAATGAGCAAAATCTGCGTGGGGAACTTTTTTGCCCTCATGCAAAACTCCCAATCATGACTCGATTTCACCCGCTAAATTTCAAAGAGCAATGGTAAATGTGACCGCACCTTTATTGTTGGAAATGTAACCTATTAGTGCAAAGATATGTCACACACACAAACATGTAAACACATGGGTTCACTCACACACACACACCTGCTCTGTTAATCTCTATGATTTCCTCCTGTGCAAGAGGACAGTCTCCTGCCATGCTTCCAGAGACCACCATACTGCCCAGCACATTACCCATGATCCTGTGTGGCGAGGCAGTGGCCATGGCCAGGGCATCTGGCTTGCAGTAGTTGGGCGATCCAGGCTGCGGAGCCCGCGGGATGTGCTTGTTCTTCTTCTTGGGCAGCTTCTGCTTAGCCATTGCCAGAGAGTAGTACATGCCGAAGTTGTTTACAATGACGGGCACAGGCATGGCGATGGTCAGCACGCCCGCCAGGGCGCACAGGGCACCGACTAACATACCAGACCATGTCTCTGGATACATGTCACCATAGCCCAGTGTCGTCATGGTGACCACTGCCCACCAGAAGCCGATGGGGATGTTTTTGAAGGTGGTGTGGGCGCTTGCCGTGGGGTCGGCGGGATCGGCACCGATGCGCTCGGCGTAGTAGATCATGGTGGCGAAGATGAGCACTCCGAGAGCAAGGAAGATGATGAGGAGCAAGAATTCATTGGTGCTGGCACGGAGCGTGTGACCCAGCACTCTCAGCCCCACGAAATGGCGCGTGAGCTTGAAGATTCGCAGGATTCGGACGAATCGAACCACACGCAAAAAGCCCAGCACGTCTTTCGCCGCTTTAGAAGAGAGGCCGCTCAGCGCCATCTCCAGGTAAAAGGGCAGGATGGCTACAAAGTCGATGATGTTCAGCGAGCTCTTGAAGAACTCGGCCTTGTCCGGGCAGAAGATGACACGGGCGAACACCTCGATGGTGAACCAGATGACGCATACGCCCTCCACGTAGGTCAGCCAGTTGTCAGTCACTACCTCAAACACAATCTCCTCCCGCGTGACGTTCCCCACCGTCACGTTCTCTGTCTTATTGTAGATGGTGTTGAAGGCCTCGTGTGTCTCCAAGCAAAATGTTGAGATGGAGATGAGGATGAACAGGAGCGAGCCGAACGCCACATACTGAAAACAGAGAGAGGAAGACACAGAGAGAGACAGAAAGACACAAAGAGAGATGAGAAGATGAACACATTAATATTATACAGTGAAATCAGTGAGATCACTATTGGAATAAAGAACAGTTACAGTGCTTAAAGCTGAAGTGCGTCATTTCTGTGGCAGAACTGGAAAAATGATCCCAGTCTGATCTAAAACATCATCAACATCATGACTTTTTTCATCCTTAGCAAACTGCTGTTCTACTGTAGATAAGGAGTCTTCGACAGGGGCTCTGCCAATTATTGTTTTATACCAAACTAAAGTTGTGTCCCAAATGATGTACTATACACTACATATTTTTGGAAGGTTATTTTCTCGTCCAGTGTCAGAGTGTGATAACCCTTCCCCTTCTGCTAAGGAAAGCTGCGACAGTAAAGTGCATGAAACCATTCCACACTGTTTTTTTCAGTTAAATAAATGCATTGTCCAGTATTTGAAGTGCACTTTTTCTTGTTGAATTTTCAGCATGAACACACTACTCACATTACTATCAAATGGCATAGAATAGTGCATAAGTTCATAAATTGTGACACTTTTACTTGTTTTTGTAAAACAAATAAACATGTTTCAAGCTAAAGCTAACCTTGAGAAGCTGAAATCCGACTAAACATTTCATTCTTCCTCCCACATTAAAATAGACTATGTAAAATTTAAATGTAACAATAATAATTATTTTAATGGCTTTAAGTACCATAATCTATGTGAATGTATCAACATGATACAACATGTGTTATTATAGGCCAGGGTTTAAATGCAACACTCAGTTTAAACTATATGTAACGGAGAGTCCCTGCTTGGTCTCTCAATACAACAAAGGGTCTTTGGCCTGAAAAAGACGGAATAACCCTTTTCTATATAGTTTTCTAAATCCAATGGCATGCCAGACTTCCCATTCTGTGCTTAACGCTATAAGCTGTTGGAATCAGGTACACAAGCACATGGAAAGACCCTTGAAAATAAAATAGCCTACATGACAGAATAAGCACTGCTGCTGTGATGCAGTTTGGCCCACTGCAGAGGTCCTTCACAATCAGAAGGAGATGTACTACAGATAGAGGGCGCCAAATACTACAACAAAAACAGCAAAAGTGCTCTGAGAATAGTGGGAATGGTGTGAATGCAGCAGTCTCATTGACACACTGCACTGAGGAAACACCACAGAGGGAGAAGATGGTGTAAAGCAAACTTTGCGAGTTAGACAAAGAGAATGGATGATGGAGGCAGAAAAATTAGAAGAGATGGCATGTATACAAAGACCTGTAATGGAAGGGGGAAAGGGAGAGAAAAAAGAAATGTATATTTAGAAATAGAAAGAAAAAAAATCTGAAAGCAGAAGGAAATGGAAGAGGGCGGGAGGGAGGGGCCAGTGAATTATAGCAGTGTGCGCTGTGCGTGGTCACCATTCTGAAAACAGAGATGTCATGTTAGCTCTCCTGCAGATAGATGTACATTGATTGGCTAGTGCACGTCTCTTGTTAAAGCCCACAGCCTCTTCTGCTATCACCTGCAATCAATATAATCTGTTTATCTCAGTCCACCTCAGTGCCATTTATGTAGCCCGTCATTACAGCCATTTATTTGGAAATGTAGGTGTGTGTGTGTGTGAAACACTGCTGCTGCTGCCATTCCCCCTCTGCAGTGCTCACATTATTCTCCCCACTCCCCGCTCCTCATTTCTCCCCCTCCTCTCTGTCAGTCCACACTTGCCCATCCTCCAATTACTGGGGTAAACCATTCCTTTTGCAGAGGAATAGCTGTCCACCTCCTTTTCTGCCTCCAGTCTTCTGGCAGTCCACCAACCCTGTTATACTGTATATATATATATATATATAATTATTATTATTATTATTATTTTTTTTTTTAAGTCTATGTGGCTTTTCTGCAAGTTGCTCAGATGTCCCACACATTTCATAAAGACATGGCAGACATTTACACAACAAAAATATTTTTCAAATTCTTTGTTTTTAAATGCAAAAACTAAATGCATTTACATGAGAAGTAAAAAGTTTAACTTGCTCCACATTTTGAGTAAATATCACAACATTTTGTTAAATTTATAATATGGAAATAATACGGGGGAAAAAACTTGCCAAAGGGGTTATAAAAATAAAAAAATTAACTAAATATTTATTATCTGAAAAGAAGACTATCTTCATCCCCATTTTGTTTGTTAAAGTTTCGATGAAACAGAAGTATGGACAGATTTATTTTAGAAAAATTAATTTAGGGAGGGTACTTGGTTTCATCAGTTGTTGATTGGATTTTGAGATGGGGCTGTTGTGCTCAAATTAATTAAATATTAGATTTTGATTAAACATTACAAAGTCAAAAAAAAAAAGACGAATACAAGAAAAATACATGGATTTGTTCACAATAAGATCTATAATGTGCATTTACAAAACAGTTGAATTTTCATTTCTTTTTTTAACTGTGTTTTTATTAAACTTTGTATAAACATACCAATTTACACATAGCATAGCATTTAAATATATTAATACACAAATAAAATATAATAAATAAATAAAAAAAGATAAATAACCATACAAAGGGAAAAAAAATTAAAACAATAAAATAAAAATAAGAAGGAACCGTTAATAACTTAAACTAAATACAAATAACTACAAAAAGCCCCTGACAACATTTTAAAGGTCAAGCAAATATGTTTCTATTAGTGCCCTGTTCTGTTGGAAAATGTCAGATTTCAGCTGTAAATCCGCTGTAATTTTCTCAAATATATATATCTGATTTAGTCTCTGTGTCCATTCTGTCAGAGTAGGTTTGTGCATCTTCATCCAGTTCACAGTGATTATCTTCCTAGCTGCCATTAATAATATACGTAATACAAATAGTTGGGATTTACTTAACTGATCTGGGGGGAAACCATCAAGCAGAAAAAATACTGGGTGCATTGGTATGTCACATTCTAAAATTTTACTTATTTCCCTTTTAACCCCCTGCCAATACACTTGTATTTTAGGACATTCCCAAAATATATGAGCATAGTCCCCCACCTTCCCACAATCTCTCCAGCATTGTGATAATTGTAAAGAGCTATCAAATTTGGCCACCACCAATGGAACTCTGAAGAATCTAATTTTCAACTTCCAGTCAAATTCTTATGACAGCTGGCACATATATTTGTCCACATCTCATCCTCTATTATTTCATTTCATGTTCAAAGGTTGTTTTTTCAGTCTAGATGCACAGACACACCACTTTTCATACCACCTTTCAGCACCCTTAAAAACACAATAACACATGATGAAAACAGATACAGACAAACACAGTTACTTAAGCATTTGAAATAAGACACCTAAAAAAAACCGTTTTAAGGACATCTCTCAAATAGCTGCAGTCAGGTCAATCCTCCCATGACGAACGAGGAGCAGTCAAATGAAGGACTGAGGCATCCTGGGAGAATTAACTAATTCCCCAACCCGATTAGCATGAACTAATTTAACGAACCCATCTTGTCGTGCCCTCAAAATGCTGATGAGGAACCCGTTTGTGTGTCAAGCAGACATGCTACCACGCACAATGTCACCACTACTCCACACGTTCTGCTCCAGATACAAGCGAGCTCCAATCTCTCAACCTCTGATCACAACTGGGATGTTTTGATGGTAAAAATAAGATATCATTCTAATTTGACAAGAAATCAGTTTTCTTTATTATTCTGGAGAGGAAAGTAGGAAAATGTTGCTATATTAAATGCAGCAGAGCATAGTACAACATAAAATGGACGAGATCATCAATGAATCAATTTAACTCTTTTTGAATGGCAACAATTTCTGACACAAATGGTTCCATTTATATATATATATATATCTTCATTTTGCCTACACCTGAATATAGTAGGCCTATCTGTCTTCAAGCCAACCGGTAGTCTCCACTCATTTGCATAATGTTAAACTACTCTCAACTTTGGCAGACACTCAACACATTCACATCACCAGACTTCACTGTCACTCAAGTGACTAAAACTGAGATGGTCCTCACTGCAGAACACAAGATCCAGGGGGCGAGGTTGGATCCAGATCCAACTCCTCCCACCTTACATATGCCTAAACCAACCTGTCTCCACCCCCTGATCCCTAAACCCACCCATCTCCACCCCTAAACCTATCATCTCCACCCCCTAGATGTGGATCCAACCCCGCCCCCTGGATCTTTGTTCTGCAGTGAGGGGCTACTGCTAAAACTGGCCAAATCTTCGTAAATGAATACCTTTCAGATCGCTTTCACACTGCATAACACTTCATGAGTGAACGCTCCTTTATACTTGAAGGACACAAAACCTCAGTGCTTATGCAAGAACAGAATTAACTTTTTCTTGTATCACTGCAGTCTGGCTCCACAGTTGTGGAACAAAGTCTAAGGACATCACTGTTTAAAGATTTTGAGGATGAATAAGGACTCTAGCAGGAAAGACTCTCCTGGAATTAAGTAACTCTTCACCATAATGTCTTCATGCCACTCCTGGGAGTGTGGACACGCTCCTAATGGCTGTTTGCTGCCCGCAACTCTGCTCTTGTTCCTGTATTCCATTACAAGATACTCTGATGCTATGGACACGCTTGTACCCATCATGGCCAGCTTTTTCTGTAAGAAAGGTTGTGTGAAATATGACCTCTTGAGATGGTGCCTGCTGACTCGATGCTGTCAAACTTTCTAAGAACATGTTGAAACATACCAGACAAAAAAGGAAGATAAATGACTTGCACATACTTGAATGTGTGTGCATGCATCTAAATGTTGTGTCCTAAAATCAACCTACTGAGACTTAATGGTGCATAAGACACAATATCAGAACCACAGGATAATGAGAATGGATTTTACACATTGGAATGAGTGTACAGTATAACCATGACTTTCCCTAGCACACCAATCAAGACAATCATCTAGGTTTAACATTGAATTTCACACTCTTCTGGGCCCTACATATGACTGTGGCTGTAAATGTT